CCCGGTTGGATACCCGGTCCTGAGACCCGGTTGGATACCCGGTCTGAGACCCGGTCGGAGACTTGGTCGGAGTCCTGATCGAAGACCTAGCCCCGCATTCATACCGCCACCACTGGTGAATTCGAGCGGTTGAATCGTCGGCTGGGCGAGTGCGTGCTATGTGAATAGTTTGTATGGTAAGAAAGTTAGAACGCTACGTCATGAACCATAACTGAGTCTTGCATCAAGGTGCTTTGGGGCTCGGCTGAGTCATCTTGTACGAGCAAGTCCTCGTAATCATCTCGGGTTTCCTTCTGAATGTAGGACTTGGTTATCAGCAAAGTCACGGCTCCTATCGCAAATACGCCAGCGGCTGCAAGTAACAACAGTAACACTCCATTACCTAAAAGCACATGCGAAATACAACCCAGATTCACCACTCCCTAAATAGCAGATCCTCTCCTGACGACAGGCCCACCGCTGTAATATATCGTCCCGCACACGTACTTGATCCACCCATGTTTCATGATGCACACATTTTCTCAAAATCAAAAATTGGAAGCCACCTTCTGGAATCTTTTCTGGAGAATTACGGGTGCTGCCTCTCCTTCCAATACCGCCTCTTCCCTTGTACATACTAGTCGGTGACTAGTCGGTGACTAGTCGGTGACTAGTCGGTGACTAATCGGTGACTAATCGGCGACTAGTCGGCGAACTCGTCTTCGTCGAAGATTTGCATTTGCTCACGTTGATCTTCATCCGCAAAGTCGTCTGCGTCCGCTGAGAATTGTGCCTGGATCTCGGCTGGTGGAGATCGGAAGTATCGAGCTGTCGCGGCTGCGGCCACCACGGCGCCCACGCCGGCAACAGCAGCGCCTACGGCAACCGGAACCACTGGGACTGAAAAGCAGATATCAACTTGCCTCATTTTTACTTACTCTTTTTCCCCGTCGATGTTGTCGATGTCGTAGTGAACGTCGTCGGACTAAACGTCGGCCTAGGCGTCGGCTTAGTGGTCGGCTTAGGGGTGA